CAAGACTTAGAGACTAATTTTTTTTTAATATTTTATTATTTTTATTTTACGTGTATGAGCGTCTTGTCTGCATGCCTATGAGTGCACCTGTGTCATGCAATGCTACGGAGGTCAGAAGAGGGCTTCGGATTCCCCTGGAACTGGAGTTAAGGACAGTTTGTAGCCACCATGTGGGTGCTGGGAATCGAACCCAGGTCCTCTGCAAGAGCAGTCAGTGCTCTTATCCGCTGAGCCGTTTCTCCAGCCCCTACTTAGAGACTAATTTTTAAACACTAAGGGAACCACTTTGCTTCAAAACACACAGAAAGGGAATGAAATGATGGCTCAGCTATTAAGAGCACTGGTTGCTCTTGCAGAGGACCCAAGTTTGGTTCCCAGAACCCACATGGTGGCTAAGAACTGTCCCCAACTCCAGTTCCAGAAATCCAACACCTTCTTCTAACCTCCATAGGCATTACATGACATGGGTGTACTTACATACATGCAGGCAATACACTCATAAAATAAATATAATAAATATTTTTTAAAAACACATAGATATTGGGGCTAGAGAGATTGCTCAATGGTTAAGAACACTGGTTGTTCTTGCAGAAGACCTGGGCTCGAATCCCAGCGCCCACATGGCAGCTAACAACTGTCTGTAACTCCAGTCCCAGGGGATCCAACAGCCTCTTCTGACCTCCACAGACATTGCACGACACAGGTGCACTTACCTACATGCAGGCAATACACACAGACACATAAAAAATAAAAAAATAAAAAAGTATCCCAGTCATCACCAATCAAGGAAGATATTAATAAAGAATATGATCAATCATTTTTTTAAAACCTGGTGAAGTGGTACATGTCTATAATCCCAGCACTCTAGGGGCTAAGGCAGGAGGATTAATTTCACAGTGAGTTAAAAAGCACTGGCCTTGTTTGGGGACAACTGATTCAATTCCTGCTGGTTCTGTTTCTGCACATGTACCATGAAGAAACTAGAGAAAAATTCTGGCTTTCAAATGGGTTAGCACAACATTGGTATTTCAAAATCACATGTCAAATGTAACACAAAATAACAGCAGTTACAAAGACTTATTTTCCTCACTACAGAACTCCAGATCCTCCAGATGACTTCACCACTATCAACCAACCCCAGTCTGAATGTGCTTTCTGATCATGATCAGAAGTGGGACAGTCCTTGCTGGTTAGTAACAGGAATGTCTTCCCAAGTGTCCTCATGAACACCATGTGTGATGGTTAGTTTTGTCAACTAGACAATCTAGAATCACCAGAGAAGGAAGGCTCAAAGAACGATTGTCTACATGCAGTTTGCCTGTGAGGGACTCTTAATTACACTGAGGTGGGGAGACCTGCTCACTTCAGGTGGAACTTTCCCTAGGCAGGGAGTTCTTAGCTGTCTAAGCCTGGTAAAGCGATGTGAGCACTCTATGCATGCATTCCTTCTCTCTGCTCTTGGCTGTGGACATGACTAGCTGCTTCAAGTTCCTGCCACCTTGACCTCCCTGTTAGGACTGTAATAGGGAATTGTGAGCTAAAATAAACCCCTTTCCCCCTAAGCTGCTTTTGTCAGGGTATTTTATCATAACAGGAAGAAACAAAACTAAAACCCACGTACAGGACAGAGAAAATGGGCATAACCATCACTGAAGTAGAGAAACTGCCCCTTAAGGTGGCTTTTGGTCTCAGCTTCCAACTTTTTAAGGCCAAAACAAGGAAGATACCTGATGGAAAACAGGGAAGTGCTCTGGATTATGTGTAGCAAATATACAACCCGCACTTCAATAGAGACATCTCAGGACCTTCTTAGGAGGTGGTTCGGTTGATCAAGCGCTTGTCTAACAAGCATGAGGACCCAAGCTCGATCCACAGCACCCACATAAAAAAGCCAGGGCTATGACATGTGCTTGAAACCCCAGCACTGGGGAGGGGCAGGCAAGTGGATATCTGTGGCTCATCAACCTTCACACACATGACATGCATACACATGTACACATTATGAACATATAAAAAATAAAAGAGGCATTTCCACATAGCCCAACCAATGCTGGCCAATGAGTACATATGCTGGTCTACTCTAGGCTCAGATCATCAACAATTTGAAAATGCTTTAAAAAAAGAAGACAAAACAATCTGCTCACTGGTGGAGTGAAAGGGTGCACACTCCATGCACACAGAACAGGGGTGAGAAACAAGCAAGGCCTGGAGGACAGGACATCACTGACCAATGTGAATGGCAGGATGGGAAAGGTCAGCACTCAGCAGACACTATAGCCAACTGGGTCATGTTTCTGTGTATGTCACTAAAGCCCGTAACTGTCCCATGAGCAAGACACTTCCAACATTCTCTACCAACTGCCATATACTAGGCTGAGCTTAGGAATTTGTACAGGATCTTTTCTACTCCTGCACAAAAGTCACAAATTCACAGTTACACAGCCATAGTCTGTCACCTCCACTGAGGTAGGTGCCTAAGGCCCAAGAAATGCCCACTTGGCTTAACAACATGGACACACACACACTGGGAAGTTGTTGCTTTTGTTATGCAAACTGAACCCACTTAGCCACTTTTTATAAACAGTTCGAAGCTGAGAATTGGACTTTGCAATGTGGCAGGGCCAAGCTGTTTACAGTTACCTGTAAAGTGCTTGTTTCGCTCCCCTGAAGGGCAGTTGCAGCAGGAAGGACAGGCTATGGAATGAGGGTCAAGTGAGGGATTGGGAAAAAAATGGAAAAGCCTATTTCTAGATCCAAGGACAAACAGGGTAAGGCTGGAGGCTCTTCAGGTCCCATCAGTCGCCAGTTGCCATCCTGTGTGGTCACCTTCTGAGCCCCAGTCTACCCTCAACTGGTAAAAGGCAAACAACTGTAGGGCACCCACAGACCTCTCCTCTCTGCTCTAGCCCATCTGTCCTCCAGTCAGCAAGTACACTCATCAGGGACTTAACATCTCTTTTTCATGGGAAGGCTGGGCTTGCAGTCTGAAGAAATTACCCAAATGAAAGCAAGAACTCCATGTATCATACCAACCTTGCTGAATGACTAAGACTAAATAACAGCTGGGCATAGTAGTTCATGCCTATAATCCCAGTACTTGAGAGACTGAGGCAGGACTGCCATGAATTCAAGACCAGTACAGGATACATAGTGAATTCCAGGCCAGGCTTGGCTACACAGTACAATCTTGTCTCAAAAGAAAGATAAAGGCTGCATGAATCTCAGCACACTTATTAATAAAGTAAAAATGGTCACTACCTGCCTGCTCCAATTGGTACCTTTGATAATCAGTGGATCAGCTATATTAATGGATACTTTCATTATTTTGTAACTTAAAAAAGCACAGGTACCAGAGGGGAATTAGACACTGACACCCAGGCAAGGTCAAGTGAGTGTCTTGGGTTTGTCACTTTGCACCACTGAGGGACTGAACATTCAATCTTAGTATGCGGTCCACAGATAAGCTGTTAAGAGCTCAAATCCCATTTGTGTGACTTCAGGCAAATTGTTGATCATCTGTTCTAAGCCTTGTTTCCTGATCTGTACATGAAAATGCTCTTTTGGGGCACACACCTCCAAACCCACTCCGCACTCTCCTCCCATCTTGTGAACCCTTTAAGTAGACATTTTGGTCTTCCTGGCTCTCTGGTGTCTAGCTGGGTTTGCCCAGGAAGAGGAACTAGCCAAAGTATGGAGGAGGAAAGCAAATCAGGGTGTTTGTTTCCTCTCCAACTCCTGACCAGAGGTCTCAGCAGCTCTCAGGCACCACCTCCATGAACTGTCCAGGCGGCACTAGTTCAAACCTTGAAGGCAGACACCAGGTCTTGCTGCTACTAGCTGTGGGCACTAAACCTGCACTCCTGGTTTCTTGTACAATGCCTCTTTATTGGTCTGTTCCCAAATTCTTATAATTTGAATTTGTTACCTATCTCCTGCTAGCACACTGGATTATACAGGAGTTATCACCACTAACAGACCAGAGATATTGTTACTACCTCGTCCTAGGCACTGGATTATAATTACTGTCACAATTACATCATGCAAGAATCAGGTGACATAATTATGACAATTCTGTTTTGCAGGAATTGTTGCTCCTTATCTACGGTGGAAGCTGCAGTTCAGAAAACAAATATGCCCAAGATCACAATGGAAGTAGAACTATTACAGAATTAGTCTTCTGACAGTGAAACCTTGACCTATGCACTTTTATTATCGTCTAGGTAAGTTTTCTTTCACCTGGAAGACAATTAAACCGTGTGATTAAGAATGTAAGTCCTGGGGCTGGCAAGATGGCTTAGTGGTTAAGATCTTGCAGAGGACCCGAGTTCGAATCCCAGCACACACATGGTGGCCACGAACCGTCCTTAACTCCAGTTCCAGGAAAATCTGAAGCCCTCTTCTGACCTCCACGTGCATTGCACGTCACAGGTGCACTCACATACATGCAGGCAATACACTCATACAGAAAAAATAAAAATAATTTTTTAAAAAAAATGTTATAAATCCTGTGCTGACGTGATGGCTCAGCAGGTAAAGGCACTTGCCGCCAAACCTGGTGACCTGAGTTCAATCCCTCGGATCCATAATTTGGAAAGGACCTACTCCTCCAAGTTGTCCTCTGAGCTCCACACGCGCGCAGCGGCACGCGTGCATGTGCACACACATACATACATACACACACGCAAATTTTTTAAAAAAGAGCTGAGGCCCTGGTGTCCACTTAAAGTACAAGAAACACGTTCAGGAAGTGTTACTTTGTTCAAGAGCCTCCTCCACGAGCCTCAGTTTCCCACAGTGAAACTGGGCTCACACTGCTTCCTTCGCAGGGCGTGCAAGAGTTCAACTGAATAACACTAGCAAAGCACGACCACGCACCAAGTCCGCAAATGCTGGGAGACACGATGGCTGACCGCTGGTTGGCGGCCTCTGAGGACCAAGGGGGCGGGCCAGACCTGAGAACCGAGGGAAGGAGCCGCTGCCCACCCCAGCCCGCGGCCCACCTGCTCCTCCAGCCGCTCGATCTCCAGCTGGTTCTTCTCCTCCTCTTCGTCGTATTCCCACTCGTACTCCCCCGCGGAGCTCTCGGCGGAGGAGGCCATGGCGTACTCCTCATCGCCATCGCTCTCGCTCACGCCTTCTTCCTGCGGATCCCACCCCGGCCCCGTGGCCTTGGACGCCGCGGCCTCCACGGGCCGCGACAGCACTTTCCTCCCCGCCGGGGCCGCCTGCGCCTCATCCTCATCTCCTTCAGCCTTGGGCCCGGCCTTGGGCTCCACCTCCGCCTCCGAAGTTGAGGCTGCAGCCGCCGTCGCCATCTTGCGCGGCCTGCGACTCTCAGGTCTTCCCTCGCGCGCCGAAGACCCGCGGAAATCGAGCTGTCCGCGGCGTTCGCCTGATCAAAACCTCGCTTTCTTTCCACCGGAAGCGACACTGAGAGCCTCAGATAACAGAAAAATCTCAAAACGCCCACGATTCATATTATCTTCATACAGCGCCAAACGCCACTGTCAGAGAAAAGGCTTATTAACCCAGCGTGTGTTCCGTTACAGCCTTGGACAGAAGTTGGGTCTTTGGACAGGAAGTGGCAGTCATAACGGAAGTGGTGGAGTGAGCGTGATGGCTGTAGTGGGGCTAGACGCCATCTTAAGAAGGTCAAAGTCATTTGCGATCTTAACCTAGCCCGCCCTAGTATAAGGTTCAGTTTCCCAGCAACCATACCTCAAATGCTGAGAAAAGTCCAAGTCCTCAGGAAAAGATCGGTGGAATAAACCATTCATGAGGAAAAAGAATATTTCCCAAAAATATGAAATACCTAGTACTAGTAGGTGCTAAACACACATGCGAATTTTCCGGTTTTATAGCATCATATTCTGAAAGCCTGCATTAGTAATAAATTACAATAATAAGCATTGCCTAGGGTTTTTGAGCAATTTTTGTTCATTTTTATTTTATGCGTATGAATGCATTGCCTGCATGTATGTACATCCACCTGTCATGCAATGCCTGCGGAGGCCAGAAGAGGGCATTGAGCCCCTGGAACTGGAATTACAGCCGGTGGTGAGTTACGATGTGGGTGCTAGGAACCAAACCTGGGTCCTAAGGAAAACCAACTCTCTAGCTCCATGTTCACATAATTGCTCTTCCAGAGGATCCGAGTTCAATGTCCAGCAATCATGTCCAGCAGCTCATAGCCATCTGTAACTACAGCTCCTGGGGAAGCCTACGCTGCTGACCTCTGCATGTACTTACACTCCCGTCGGCAGACACATAATGAAAATTAGTCTTTTTAAAGTGAGTATTCTTTATACAGAAGTAGTTATAAACATAGCACATTTCTTAATATCAGGGCCTGGTGTTCGCTTCCTTCTTGAACTCATTTTTGAGGTGGAAACGCCCTGGTGATTTTCCTCTGTTTGCTGCCTCTCTTTCATTAGCAAGGTTAACCAGGCGGGAATTATGTGCACGTTGCTTTCCACAGGACGAGCCTTGACACCTAGTGAACACTCAATGCATATGCCCCTCGGGATAAAAGGCCAGTCCCTGAACCAAGGCTTAGCCAGCCGGCGTCACTAACCCAGGGTCACACACCCAGAACCAGGAGTCTAACCCAATATTTATCCCAAGTCGAATCTCAAACTTGCCCTGAGCTGAGCGACCCGTGGACAAGTTACTCTGGAGACGGGGGGCGGGGGGGGGGTCCTTGGGGTCCAGCGGTGGGCTCTGAGAGCATGGTGCCACACTCCAAGGCCAGGAAAGCTCTCCATCCTTGCGCAGCAGGCGGGTTAAACCTTCCCGCGGCTCGGCGCCGGTCCCTGCCCGCCCAGGGAGCGAGCCGGAAAAGGAGCCAAACAGCAGACACGTGCGTGGAACTGAAGAGCGCAGGCGCGAAGTCTCGGTGACGTCAGAGCGGCTGCGCCCCTCGAACGGCTTCGCCTGGGGTCGGCGCAGGCGCAAGCGGGAGAGATGGCGGCGGCTGGAGCTGGCCGTCTGCGGCGGGCGGCGTCCGCGCTGCTGCTCCGGAGCCCGCGCCTACCCGCCCGGGAGCTCTCAGCTCCAGCCCGGCTCTACCACAAGAAGGTATGGGCGGCCGAGGGTGCGGGGATCCGGGAGACCGAGACCGGCGCTAGCCGGGCCGGGACTGGGAGAGGCGGCCGGCTCCGAAGTCTGCGCCCGGCTTGCTTCACCCGCTGCTACCTGCAGCGGTTACGGACCGCAGCCACCGACCGCCCGCCGCCACCTCGACCCCGCCGCCGCCAGCCACACTTCGACTGTCCAGACTTTGACAGCTCAGGAGGGAGGGTCCTGTTAGGTCTTGCTGTGGGTCCTAGGACCCAGCGCACATGCATACACACACATACATGCGCACACAGAGAGGGAGAGAGAGGAGAGAGAGAGAGAGAGAGGGAGGGAGGGAGGGAGGACACCGTCCTGCAACACCTAGACACTGCCCTGGCAAACTGACCTTGAAGAAGTCACCGGTGCTCGCCGCACCCGTTTCCCCATCTGTGAAAGGGACCCTAGGGTACTCGGGGGGCGTGGCGGGGGTATTAAGCCTGGGACCTGCCCTAGGCCCAAGAAAGAGAAACCACTTAGGGCGGTGTTATTATAGAAGATCACAGCCTAGAGACGAACCAAGCACCTAACCAACATAACGCTTTGGCTCTCTTTTTTGTTTTTGCTGGGGGCAGAAGGGATAGATGAGTAGTTTACTGCCCCTTTACTTACTTCTAGAGGTGTAAACTCCCCCTTGACACGGGAAAAACAAAAGAATACTACAGAACAAGACATCAAAAGTCCGGATTAGATATTACTTTGTGGATCCTTAGGACTTAGAATCAAAATTCACAGAGGATGAGGGTGAGCATTGATAACTGGCAAACAAACATTGGGGTCAATTACATCTTGATGTGTACTAACGTTAATGGCTTTTTATTCTGTTCTGGCTTGGGCGCATTTGCCTTCATTCCTCCCCCACTGAGGACAGTGTTTTGTTTACTTAGGGAGTTGAAGGAACTTGGGCTGGCGGGCTTTCGGCACCAGGGGGCGCTGCTGCACCTGGGTGGTTCCAGGGCCCTGCATTTATGTTTATGGGTATCCGATTCATCATAGTTCTTGTAACAGTCACCTTGAACCTTCTGAGGAAATCTTCCATTCCAGGGCCATACCTAGTTTTGGAATTTTTGAATAAGCCTTCTCCTTTACAGTATTTTATTTAGTAAAAGCTCACGTGGTGTTTGATCCCAAAACTGCTGATGTTGGTAAGTCAAGTGATCAGTTGTGGTTGAAAACAGTATAAATCTAAGTGGTGACTGAGTTTTTGCCAGTATCTCAGACAGTATCTCCATTCTGAAGGTAGCTGGAAAGACACAAAGTGTTTGGGCCACAAATGGTTTTCTACATGAGTGAGGCCCTTCTGCCTATTCGAGGTTTGGGTTGCCAGCTTTGAGAGACCCACACTAGTAAAGCCCTCCTGATTTCTCTTAACCTGTCATTTCAGGTTGTGGACCATTATGAGAATCCTAGAAACGTGGGGTCCCTTGACAAGACAGCTAAAAATGTTGGAACTGGATTGGTGGGTGCTCCAGCGTGTGGTGATGTCATGAAATTACAGGTACTAGCTAGTTTGGTTCTAACGGAAAGAACAGTAACCTTTGCTTTCACAGAGCTTCATCAAGGGCGAGGCATTTACACATAAAATGTTCCATGTTGTCTCCATCTTTTTTCCTATGAGATGGGATGAGTCACTGTTGTAGTTGATGAGGACAAGGATTCAGGTCTAGTTCTCCTGCCAACTTGTTCTGAAATAGGAAATGTGTTTCACTGTCCTAATCACTGCATCAGCTTAAAAACCACCTTCAAGGGGACTGGAGAAATGGCTCAGCGATTAAGAACACTAGTTGTTCTTACAGAAGACCCAAGTTCGAATCCCAACACCCACATGGCAGCTAACAACTGTCCAGTGCCAGGGGATCCGACAGCCTCTTCTGACCTCTGCGGGCATTGCACAACACAGGTGCACTTACCTACATGCAGGCAATACACACATTCACATAAAATAAAAATAATAAATAAACTTAAAAAAAATAAAAAAAAAACACCTTTAGGGACTAGAGAGATGGCTCAGTGGTTAAGAGCACTGGCTGCTCTTGCAGAGGACCCGAGTTCAATTCCCAGCACCCACATGGCAGCTAACAACCATGGATAACTCCAGTTCCAGGGAATCCAACACCCTCTTATGACCTCCACAGGCATAGCACAATATGTGTGCACCAACATGCAGGCAATACACTCATAGGCATAAAATAAAAATAATAAAGTCAGGTGTGGTGGTGCATGCCTTTGATCCCAGCACTCAGGTGGATCTCTGCGAGTTCAAGGCCAGCCTGATCTACATAGTTCCAGGCCAACTGGGGCTACAGGGAGACCCTGTCTCAAAAAACAA